TGCTCTTATTTTTATATATTAGTGGCTTGCCTTGTCAATGTTGATGGGAGCGTTCTTGGTGGTTCCTTGATTAGATTTATTTACTGTTAGCTTGTTTGTCTGGACTGGTAGTTCCTGGATTAGTAATTCCTGGATTGGTAGTTCCTTTGTCTCTGCCAAATGTCATCCAGTTTTTTTCATGGAGCAATGAAGGACACTTGCCACTAGATTAGCATATGGGGGGTGCCTTATCCAAACAATGGTTCAGTACTTGGATTGATCAGATGATCAGATGAGCTGATAGCTTTGCTCAAGGTAGCCAAATAAATTAATTCCAAATTTTATTCCTATATTTTGAGTTCTGGGCCTCTCTGAATCATCAAAAGCTTTCTTCACACCAATAATACAATCATGTTTAAGTTGGCCGAAGGAGAAAATCATTCAATGATGGAAAAGAACCATATTATCTAATTGGTTTATTTTTAATGAATTTCAAATCCAGTGAATTGAGTGTTTGTGGTACTCTTTTCTGCAGTATTGAGTGACTTCACTCCCTCCCTTCATTAGTCCAGCCCACAACGCAAAAAAAAAATGTTGCCCACTTTTGTTGTTAAATCTATTGTTGAAAAAATCCAGTTATGATTCCTCAAAGTGCAGTAGAATGAATTTCCAGACCATTTTTATCGACCGAATCAGGAAATCGGTGAGCTGTGTCTCTCGTCTTGTAGACTCTGATTCTGGGCTTATGGCATTATTTTCCAGCCCATCAAACAGCCAGCTGGGAATAATTTTCTAGCCTTGGCACCTCTGGTTTTCCAGAATCAAAAGAGAACTTTGTCTTTCCTAGTTCCTTCTGTGCAGAAGAAAACAATTGAGACGTTTCCTTATTGTGTCTCTCCACTTGGCTCTCCAGTTTTCTATGTCCCAAAGGAGGAAAATAAGATTAAAAGGAAAAAAAAACACTTTGGTCTCAGCACATCCTTTCCATAGCTAGGATTCTTATCCAGCATTTATATTCAAGCTACGAACTTTGAACAAAATACTAGGTTCTTTCTGATTTTTTTTACAGAGATTTGAACAAATCTGTACTTAGTTCTGCCTGTCAGTAAGGCGCATACACCAGTGTTTCTCAACCTTGGCAACTTGAAGATGTGTGGACTTTAACTCCCAGAATTCCCAAGCCAGCATATGCTGACTTGGGAATTCTGGGAGTTAAGTCCACACATCTTCAAGTTGCCAAGGTTGAGAATCACTGGCATACACTGTTGTAGTTCTGAGCATCTTCAAACCAGTTGTTAGCAGTCTGGGAAACTTGGTAGTACCTTTGGCAAAGACTGTATAATTTAGTCGAATTTTCCTGAAAATTTGTTGTATTATTTTGTTTTGTTTTGTTTTCAGGAAAACTGTTGTAAGTCGAGGACAATCTCTACTATTAAAAAAAAAATATCAACGTAGGTAAAAAGATGGGGAGGGAGAGAGTATGATGAGAATCGGGGGGGTGGGATCTGTTGTTAATCTATCAACCACTACCAATGTGATACCCCCTCCCCTCCTTCCCCTCCTCCTTCTGTAGTGTTGAAAGAAAAGTCTTCATCGTGGTTCAGTCCAAGCTGGGAATAAACATGGCGACTGCTTTAGGAAGAAGGTTGTAGTTTATTGAAGAGGAGAGCCAGACGGGAAGATGGTTCTGGCAGAAAAGAGAGAGCAAAAAGGGGCTGAGCACATGTAGGGAGTGGGTTTTTATATCCTCTGGAGCCTTTTGTTTTGTTTCCTGTTCCTGTGGCATGAACTTTGACCTGAGTCTCAGTGTGCTTTTCTGGTATTCTGATGGTGATGGGTTAATCCTATT